ATCATGCATATCTCAATAACTCAACATATTTATAATAAAAGCATCTTTATTACTATTAGGCATGTTTATTGTATGATATTAACTCAAAGTTAATATATCCATATTATACAGCAATTAAAATTTTTGTTTACCTTCATCCCTTGAGTCATTCAAAAGGGACATCCATAAATTCAATCTAATTCTAAACTCTCAAATACTCCATCCAAGAGCTCAAGAAAATTTTAGTCTTAAAAAATGCCCCTTCCGCTGACGCTATGCTCGCACGACTCTAATCTCTCTCTCCCTTCTCTCTAAACGCTGAAAATATTTTGGGGTTTGATAGGTTATCACCTTATATAGAAATGAGGTGAGGAGCTAGGTGAGAAACATCTGTCACCTAATCCTCAAAAATGTAAATCTGGAGACTTAAAAAAAAGTTGATTGTTGGTTGTGACACCTTTGATTGCAAAAACAGCTCATTTCTTATCTTCCAAATCCTCATTAATTATGAATCATTTTTTAATGTATTTAAATACCCTGAAATTTCTTTAAAATATTATCAACTTAATTAAATTGAAGGGTAATAATTTGGGAATGTTACACCCAGATTCGATAATTGAAAAGAAAAGAAAGACTTCAGTTTCTTCTCAGGTCAGTCACGTCCTTTCTCTTGATTGCATTGTACGTAGAAAACTAGAAAGTTCATTAATCAGTAGGGTGCACTAGTTCCTTATTTCAAAATTGTACTTACCAAATGAGGTCTTCTCAGATCAAAGAAAAACAAAATGGATGGTATCAGTACTTGATCAGTTCACAAGCGACATATCTTCGTTCAACATTGAGCTGCAGGAACTAGTTTGAAATTCTTCAAGAGTTTTTAGCTAGAAAATTTCTTGTAGGCTTTAGGGATAAAGAATGCTCATGGTTTTTTTTTTTTTTTTTTTTTGCGGCCAAAATGCTTGTGGATTACTATGCATTGGGAATGTTAAGTTTGAAGATGAAAAAATTAGTCAAAGTACAGAATTAGACGTCTAAGAATATGAGGGAATTATTATTTAAGCAATAAGAGTTACTTGTGATGTGACCTATGAAATCGAGGTCTCCTACCGGAATAGGAAAGCTAAAATTGATTAATATGGGTGTGTGAATATTTTTATTATGATTTTAAGTTAATAATTAATTTTCATATGTATATATATATATATATATGTATGTATGTATAATAGAGATGCTTGGATATGCTTTTGTGTGGCTTCTAAAATTGATTATTAATGTTATCCAAGTAGTCACATAAAAATTAGGAAATCCCTTTTTTAAGAAAGTTACTTTGTCAATATTTTTCCCCTCAAATTTCTTTTATCTCAAACACAACCTTGCATTAGATAGAATTTGGCTGTCTTTAGCTTGAAATATTATTTAGTGAAATAGTTTTATGTAACTGTTGCATGAACTCATCTGTCATAATTCAATGGACTCTGCGCCAAGAGAGCTATTTTAATTTGGGTCTAATATATATTTCTTGTAAAATTCTACTTCATTAGGATTTGGAGTTTTTGCCTACCCTAAATAAAGAAACCAAGGAAAAAAAAAAAAAAAAAGCATTTGGACTGCTTTCTGAGGCCAGAAGTAAGAAGAAGAAACGTCGAAGTAATATGTTACAAGGAGGGACTACATGATCAGGTTGATTCCAAATGAGGATATTTGTCTGTTCTAAAGTGAAACTATTTTTTTTTAAAGGATAAGATTTAAATATTTAATTTTATTTATTTAATATATTTTTATTCAATCAAATTAAAGCCAGTCTATTTTAAATTTAACTGCCTATTTCAAAAGTGATTGGCTAAAAATTCTCGACTTTCTTTTTTGTTTTAAACAAAAGTTTACAAGTTGCACAAAAGAAATTTGTATGTATTTCAAAATCAGCTAAAAGGGTGGAAAATTGAAAATTTGCAATATTTTAAAGGAAAAATGACAATGGAATCCATTTGAAATATATAAATGATAGTTTAGTCCCTTAAAATGTCATAATTCTTCTAAAGTTTTTATAGACTTTTCTATCATTAATGAATTTATATAAATTATCAAATTTTCCTTGTTGAAAATAAATGATTCACAACTTTCCTTCTTATATTTACAACAATATAATAGTAAATCACAATTTCGCATGTTAAATTTTTTATTTGCTGTTATATTGTTGTGAATATAAAAAAAAGTTGTGAATATAAGAAAGAAAGTTATGAATCATTTATTTTCAATAAGGTAATTTAATAATTTATATAAATTCATTAATAATAGAAAATTTTTTAAAGACTTTTGAGAAATTATGACATTTTGAGAAATTAAATTATTATTTATATATTTCAGATGAACTTTATTGTCATTTTTTCTATTTTAAATTTACAATTTATACAAAAAGAAATTCATAAATGTCATCGGTTGCCTTATATCGTACTAATAAGGTTTTTAAAAAATATTTTTGATAGAATTATCTCTAATTAAATTCAATAATTCTCAAATCTAATTCAATCATATAGTTGTATAAAAAAATTACAAGTTTTATATAAAAAAATTAATTACTTATTTTCAGGTTGCTTTAAATTAAAGTAATAAGGTTTTCTTTCAAAAAAAGTTGCAAGGTATGAAAAAAAAAAATCACAAGTGTCAATCCATAATTGAGAAGTCAATTTGAAGGGGCAACTTTGTCATGACGCTTTATTCCCCAAGAAAAGAGCCAAGGACCTTGGGAGTAATTTAAAGAATTGAAAGTCTTAATGTAATTTTTCCCAATATTTTTTGTCATTTTAGCATTTCTTGCCATCTAGGAATAAGCCCGTAAATTTAACAAAAAATTTAAGTTTGGCTAGTGGGAATAAGCTTAAAAAAGTTAAGGCTGGGCAAATATTTTACAATATTTTGCATTTATTTAGGTTGTTTATGGTTAACTTAGCTCAAATACTTGCACATTTATTTATTTATTTATTTATTGTAGGTTAAGGTGTATTTTTATTTTTAAATTTTTTAAAAAGTATTGGGCATCTTGTAGTAATAAGTGGAGTAATTTTTATTTTGAATTATTTTTTTGAGGAGTAAAAAAATCTCTTCTATTAATTAATTGTTATCTTTATTGTTTTTTTTTTACGTGGCATGTGCATGGAGTCAACATACAGTAAAAGATGAGACTTTGATCATATTCTTTAGTACCGATTTGCTCCTAAACTCTTTGTTTATAAGTGTTAGATATCCTAAATTTTTTTCTAAGAATGCTAGATACTTTAAAGTTTTATTAAAATAAAATTTAATAAATATTGCTAAAATATTAAATATTTGCATGTTTAATAATTTGAATATTATTATTTATAAATACTCATTTAAAATTTATAAATTATAAATATTCTCAAAGATAGCACCCATATCATTATACCTTTTGTTGAGTGAAAACTTATCTATATTTTTAATATTGATTAAATTTCTTAAATTTTTATATTCTTCTCTATAATTTTTTTGGTTAACTAACTATCTTCTTTCAATATATTATACTGTTCAAATTTAATACTTTTTATATACTATAACATTAGAGATAAAATTAGAAACATGCATGACAGATCAAGACCAATAATATGGCAAAAAAATGTTTTATTTGGAAAATATTGCTTATCCCATTAATGTACTATAAAAATGTCACTTAATAAGATAATAATGAAGAGATGAGGAAAAAAAATCTTTCCATTAATTTAGGGGTTCATTCTCTTCATTTTTAATATAAAATTATAAAATATTAAAAATATTAAAATATTAAATTTGGTGGTGTAATATTTTGGATGAAAATTATTAGTTGATAAAAAACTTACAGAGAATGATAAAAAAATTTTAAAAACTCAATCAATATTAAAAATATAACCGGTATATAAAAATATTATAAGTTATCTATAAATTTACGAAGAATTACTTTGAATTGTTAGTATTTAAAAATAATTTATAAATTTTGAATGAATATTTTAAAATAATAATATTTAAATTATTAAGTATTAAAATATTTAATATTTTAACAATACTTATTAAATTTTATTTTAAAAAGATTTAAGGATGCTCAACGTTTCTAAAAAAAAAACTTTAAGGTGCTAGCTCTTCTATTAAAAAAGTTCATGAATAAATTAGCACCATGTAATATGGTTAAAGTCTTGCATGTCATTGTACGTGGACTTGTGCATATGCCATGTTAGTAAAAAATAAAAAAACTAACGACTGACTAACAAAAAAGGATTTTTGCTCATTAGAAAAACAACTCAAGAATAATTTTGCCCTACTTATTAGTATATTGTAACAAGTACGAGGGGTGAAAAGAGGTCATAAGGGCTTACATTTTGGCCTACTTTAGGCTCAATCTAGCTTATTTATTAAATAAGCTTAAACTAGATTTAAATATTTATTTAGGCCTATTTAGTTAAATAGGTCTAACTTAATTTTTTAAGGACTAGCCTATAAGTTCAATAAATCAAACTATTTCCACATGCATGTATATATGCTATAATATATTATACACACGTTAGTTTCACAATTTAATTTTTGATCAATCTTTTTTTTTTGACTTATGTTTTTATTAAGATTAAACTTATATATTAATTTTAATGTTATTATTTTATTATTATATTGTATTATAATTGGTAAGTCCTTTTAATTATTATATATTGTTATTGATAAAAAATATTATATATTTATATTAATAGTTTTAAAATATATTTAAGATATTGAAAATTAAAATGTAAGTTTATTTAAAAAATTTATTTTTAATAAGTTTTCAAATTAAGTGAAGCTAAACTTAGATTTGAATTGTAAGAAAAATTTTATGTAAGTTGTTTAAACTTTTGACTGATCATATAATTTTAAGTTTATTTGATTAAAGATTAGTTTAATTCAACCTATTTCCATCCTTCCAAAGCGCTTTGGAAAAAAATTCCAGGAAATACACCCATTTATTTTTTGTTCAGCCTCTCCGCGAAATTAAACACGTACGCGTGGCCCGTTCTCTTCAGTCTTCAGTCTTCACGTCACTCGAGCTGTCGCGCAAACGCAAACGTCAAACCCTAGGCGTCCGTGTTCTCTTTTCTTCCACTTTCTTCACTCGATCTCTTCAGTCATCACTTTCTCTGTCGAGCTCGAGTCGAGGCGAAGACGAGTGTGCCTCTCAGCTTCATATCTCTCTCTCGCCGCCTCGCGCAGAACTCACGGCCGCCGAATCACTGTCTTGCGCAGAACCTTCTCTGCTCGGCAGCTCGGCGACCATCCCCGTCTTCTCTGCATCTGCTTGGCAGCTTGGCGACCATCTTCTTCTTCTCTGCAGTATGCTCGGATCCCACGGCCAGGACCCACGATCCCAAGAGGTTTTCTTCTTTTTTTTCCCTCTCTCGCGCATTCTCTGAAAGTAGAATATGGATCTAATGGCTGAATTGAATGCTTTCTGCGTTTATCTCTGCTCTAGATCATCATCTGAATGCTTACTAGTATATTGTTGGCTTACATCTGAAATTCATATGATTGAATGCTTGATGAAGGATGAATGCTTGAATGATTTTATCCCTGCTCGTGATCTGAGTGCTTGAATGCTTGAGAGTGCAATTGTAGTTTTGGATGGTGATGATGGTCAGGAAGAGCCACAGGACTTGGACTTGGGTCAACTTTGATTGTGTTGTTGATTGTTCTTGTTATTTTTTGACTCTGGTGATATGTTGAATGTGTTGATAGATTGTTATTTTGTTGGATTGTTTATTTTGGATGTTGAACTAGTATGTTGGACTTGGATTGTTATTTTGGAATTGGGATGTCTGTTGGATTGTTATTTACAACTTGGACTTGTGTTTGTTGGTTGATGTATTGAAAACCATTATTTTGATGCTATTAGGTGAGAAAACAGCACTGAAATTGCAAAAAAAAAAAAAAAAAAGATGATGCCTTTAATGCGGGTATTTGGACCAGACTGAAGCCCGGATTAATTTGGGTTAGACTTGGCCATTTGGACTTTTTAGGAATATTCAGGCCGAGCCTAAAAAAGCCCAGCACGCTTGACTTACGAGCTCGTCTGAGAGTGTCAATGTAGCAAGTTCTATCTTTTCCTTTTTCAATACATATTCATTTATCTTTTTTCTTTGATCTTGATCATACTCATTCTATCTTGTTAAAGTAATTTTCCATTCACATTCTTCTTTATATTTTTTTATTAGTGAAATCGTGAATGATATGTTCTACAAGTTATACAATGAAACATTTTTCTTTTAAATAACAATTTATTAATGAAATTTATTTCAATGTTACGCCTCACTATTTCCTTATTTAATTTTTTTTAACCTTTATTGAATGAAGATATTTTTGAAAGGGAAAATTTCACTCAAAGACCCATGCAGCTTATTATTAATGAAAAAGGACCATAAGCTTTGAATTCTCTCTGCACACCTAAGGGACCTAAATGAAAATAAGATTTAAGAAGAAAAAGAGAAAAATAGCTGTTGAGAGGAACTTGAATTGCCACTTATTAATTATGTATGATTGCTTGTCAGTATGTGAATGCGTGCTTGTTGCAATTGGACCAACACCTAGTTGATAATGTGGCTATTTGTCTGTTGTAAAAAGTAGCAGAGTGAGTATCTCTTATCGTTAATACTTTTAGCTTGTTTTTAAAAGTACTTTCTTCAATTATATTTGTCAAATAGAGAGAGATTTTTTTTTTAAATCCATTTATGAGGCATTTCATTGATTTTTTTATTATAAGTTTTCTTTTACCCTATTAAATGTTGATGAGAGAAAATATATTATTAAACATGATTAATGAGTTTTGAAGTTTTCTTGATTCTCACAAAACATGCCATAAGTGACTTATAAATTAGATCAGAAAGAATAAAATGCAATTTATTTTGGTATGACTGAAGAAATATCATTTTTAGCATTTTTAACCGAATTATACTTAACGAATTAGTTAATTGTTTTTTAAAATTACACATATTTTCATGTGTACCTTTATTGAATAGGCTGTCTTAATTAAAAACCTTATTAATTATGAAAGGTTTTATTCATAGTATTGTGAAAAACCCAAAATGTCTTATATTTTTAAAATGATACTTTGAAACAAAAATCTCTTATAATATTGAAGGGAGCAAGCAAATTATAATATAAGGGGGTTTTTTTTTTGGGCTATTTATTTTATAAGTTTCATTATCTATGTTTTTTTTCCCTTTTAATTCTTGGTGGCATGCAGATTGGTCAAAGAAACATTCGGAATCTGTACATATTCTATATCAGCAGAATTTGCTTAGTTCATTTCAGTTGCTGTGACAAATTATGGCATCATCATCAGCATCTTCAACCAAACTGAGCCTGAAATTACTTATTGATCAAGAGAACGAAAGAGTTCTGTTCGCCGAAGCATCAAAGAACTTCATAGACTTCCTCTTCAACCTGCTTCGTTTGCCTATTGGCACAGTCGCAAGCCTTCTAACCAAGAACGACATGCTGGGCTGCATTGGCAAGCTCTGTGAAAGCGTTGAGAATCTCAGTGATGATTACTGGTTGAACCCAATTCGTGACAAGGATGCTTTACTGAAACCAAACACTTGGTTATACTCTGGAAATCTTCTTCTGCCAGCAACAAATCATGGCAATTATACTGGCGGATCAGCGTCTGCACAGTACAGTTCCAGTTCTGCGTCGTTCGGTAGCAGTTCTCTGTTCAGTTTCGGTTCCAGTTCTGCACCATCCGGTTCCAGTTTTTCATTCTGTTCCAGTTCTGCACCGTCCAGTTCCAGTTCTGGCTATAACACAAAAGCTACAGCGAAGAAAACTTGTGGTGAGGGTGGGTTTGTGAAAGAAGTTGTGACTTACACTGTAATGGATGATCTTGAAGTTCGTCCCATGTCTACTATTTCAACCATCACTTTGTTGTCAAAGTTCAACATCAAAGATATTACTTCCTTACAAGAAAGGATCGTTGAGTTAGACATGGAACAGGCATGGATGATGATCTCTTAATTAATTACTTGTATTGTTTACATGGTGTATTGCTTTATGGTTTTTTTGAGGGGTCTTGTATTTTGCTTTCTAATATTGTTTCCCACTTTGTACTTGCAGGGTATCAAACTGTTGAAAGCGTCTCTGGAGTGCAAGAATGTGTTAACTAGCGTGTTCCTCAAGGGCGTTTAATTAGTTCCTTTCCTTTTTTTGATGGACTTTCTTTAGGGTTACTGTGTTTATGATTATATATGCCCATGTTTTATTTCACATGGCTTTGAAACTAGTGACCGACCCTGGCGTTGCATTCATGCGAAGTAGGGAAAAATTGCACGGGGCGTTAACGTGTAATGTAAAATTGATAACTTTCATTTTGAACCAAGTAATCATGAACAATTTTAATCACTTGTATTTTAAAACATGTCATTGAGAATAGCTCACTCATTACACTATACATTTTCTTGTGTTCTTCACGGTTCATCCTTCACTTCCTATATGCTTTGTTGATTGGGCTTGCATTGGTTATTCATATATTTGTTGTCTGACAACAAATTTTGCTTAACTGTGGTCTTGAACTTTTTAGTTTTGGTTGTGAATGACAAATATCTGGTACTCTACATGCTTGTTATTTCTTCCCCGCTTTGGACTTCTTGTATCATATGTTCCTATCTTTTTTCTTGATGATTAAATTGGTCGTTTCATTTCCAATAGTGGCATAAAGTTCAAGTGGATTATAGTCCGATCAAATACAGTCATATTTAGGCCACATTCTCCTTTTTCTGACACAATCCCAACCTCCTCTACGTTCAGTCTCATTTGGATTTTCTAGTTTTCAATATGCCAATTTCATTTGTAAACTTCCTATTAGCGGACCATCTCCATTGAGGTACATTTATATTAACATCTCCCATTCTCTTCATCTCACTAATTTTTTTCAAGAACAGAATTCGGTAAAAACCCACTGAACTTGCCCAAGTTGTCATGCCACACCCTCCATTGTCTCTCTCCTCACTTAATTCCCCCTTCCAAGTTCTTGATCCCTTGTGTTTTAATAGAAGGCAAAATATCCTCATTGCGCTTGTACTTTCATGCATGAATTACACTGAGCATTCCTGCGTTTTGATCAAATCCCATCCAAGTTTTGTCATAAAAACCAAGTCTTGTAACTTAGCATGTCTAGGACCAAGACTCTCATTCTCCTTTTTTTGATAGATATCATCCCAACCTCCTTTACATTCACTCTCTTATGGATTTTTCAGTTTCCATTATGCTGATTCGTTGTGAACTCCCTATTAGCAGACCATCTCCATCGAGGTACATCGATATCACCATCTCCTAGCCTCCTCATTTCACTAATTTTCTCAAGGACGGAAGTTGGTAAAAATCCACTGAACTTGCTCCAATATCATTGACCGGAAGATGATTAGATATCATTTGCTACCAACACCTCTAATTCTTCTTTGGTCTCTGTTATATTTGACATACTTAATAAACTATAGTGGTGGGGTAACTAACAATCCTATTAGGATTGTATTCTTTTTCCATAGCCAAGCCACCATACTCACCATTGCCTCTTCCCAATCTTAAATCCCTTCCCTGTTCTCAACCCCTTGTTATGTTTTAATAGTAGGTAGAATATCCTTGTCACACATGTATTTTGGACACATGAACTGCACCCAAAAAGCATCGTTGTGTTTGATCAAACCCTACGCGAGATTCATCATAATTGCTAGGTTTTGTAATTTAGCATGTTTAAGACCAAGATCCCCATTCTCCTCCTTTTGACAAACATTACCCCAACCTCCACACGTTCTGTGTCATCTAGGTTTTTCGGTTTCTAATATGATGATTTCACTAATTTTCTCGATCGAGATATATCCATATTACCATCTCCAAGCCTCCTCACATTACTAATTTTCTCTAGGATAGAATTCAATAAAATCCTATTGAACTTGCTCTAATCCCATGCACCCAAAGGGGAAATATAACCTATTACCAACGCCTCCAATTCTTTCGTGGGCTCTGCTCTACTAATATTCTTAACGAGCTCATCATAGTGGGAAAACCAACAATCCACCTTGTCACACCCTTCATCATCTCTTCCCAAACTTAATTCCCTTCCAAGTTCTCGATCCCCCATTGTTTTCAAATGGTAGGCAGAATATCCTTGCCATATTTGTACATCTCACTCATGAACTACACCCATAAAGCATCATGTTTGATTAAATATCATCCAAGTTTCATCATAAAAGTGAGGTTTTGTAACTTAGCATGTCTAAGACCAAGACCCGTATTCTCCTTCTAACAAACATCACCCAACCTTCTCTAAGTTCTATCTTCTATGGATATTTTAGTTTCCAATATGCTGATTTCATTGTAAACTCAATATTAGCTGATTATCTCCACCGAGTTATATCTATATTGTCATCCTCCAGCCTACTCTTCTCACTAATTTTCTCTAGAACAGTGTTCAGTAAAATCCCAATGAACTTGTTCCAATCCCATACACCCGAAGGGAAGATCTAATCTTCTACCAGTGCCTCCAATATTTCTTTGGATTTTGCTTTACTGACATGCTCAATGAGCTCCTTATGGTGGGGAAACTAACAATCTTGCTAGAATCATATTCTCCTTCCAACCCCAAGCCGCTATCCCACACCCTTCTTGTCCCAAACTGCAAGTTCTTGAACACCCCCCAGCATTGTGTTCTAATAGTAGGCAGAATATCCTCACCGTACTTGTACTTTTCATGCATCAATTGCACCCACAAATACCTACGTTTGATCAAACCCCATCCAAGTTTCATCATAAAAGTGAGGTTTTCTAACTTAGCATGTCTAAGACCAAGATCCCCATTCTCCTCTTCTAATAAACATTACCCCAACCTCCTCTACATTTTGTGTCCTCTAGGTTTATCAGTTTCTAATATGCTGATTTCACTATAAACACCATATTAGCCACCCATCTCCATTGAAATATATCCATATTATCATCTCCGAGCCTGCTAACGTCATTAATTTTCTCCAAGAAAGAATTCGATAAAAGCCCATTGAACTTGCTCCAATCTCATGCATCTGAAAGGGAGATATAATCTATTACTAGTGATTCCAATTCTTTTGTGGGCTCTGATATATTGACATGCTTAATGAGCTCATCGTAGGGGGGAAACCAACAATCCACCTTCCACACTCTTCATCATCTCTTCCCAAACTCAATTCCCTTCCAAGTTCTCCATCCCTAGTTGGTTTTTAATATTATGCAAAAATATCCTCACCACATTTGTACATTTCACGCATGAACTACACCCACAAAGCATCATGTTTGATCAAATCCTATCCAAGTTTCATCATAAAAGCGAGGTTTTGTAATTTAGCATGTTTGAGACCAAGACTCCCATTCGCCTTCTTAGACCTTAAACCTCAAAATAAGGGAAAAAGAGTGACAGGTGTATGAGATTTATTACTTTGTGAGTTTCATATGAGTGTCTTTCATTTCTTTTTTCCCCTTATGATCTAATTACTTCATCTTATATTTTATGAAGTCATTTAAATTTTGTGTTTTAATGCATATGTTCTTATTCTAAAAAAGTTCTCAAGCAGCAAATACAAATCTCAGCTCCATTAGTTTTATTCCCCTATTGTATATCATTAATTTTTATTCTTACACACACACATTAATATATATTCTATATACTTTTCTTTTAGAATTGATATATTTGATATCTGGTATAATTTTGTACTTTGATATGCTATCATACATGATGGGAGAATGTCAATAAAAACTCCTTGTCCAGACTTATTTTGAATCAAAATTCCTAAATTCGTGAAATATTATTGCAATTTAAAGGTCTTGATTTGATATTAAATTTATGAGAGGAATGACAAAATTACCCTTAATTTGAATTAACATCAAAACTATCCTATTTCACTTGTTGATTGCCCTACTTCAGTTGTTCATTTACTTATAAAATGTTATTCATTGCACTACTTCACTTGTTCATTTCCCTATAATGAAATCAAGTGAAAGTGGGGTAATGAACAAGTGAAGGGGATAATGAACAACAGTTTATAAACAAATGAATAATATATAATATATGAACTAACTAGTTATCTTAAGATGATTTAAACACTTGGAATGAAATATAGTAAAATAGGACAATTAATAAAATTTTTTAAGTAAATGAACAAGTGAAATAGGGTAATGAACAAGTGAAGTAAGACACTTATAATATTAATTTAAATGAGGGACAATTTTATTATTTCTATTTGAAATTTAATATCAAATTAGAACCCTTAGACTATAGTGATATTTCAAAAATTCATGGGCTTTAATTTTAGATAAAATTGGTCAAGGGGTCTTTATTGATATTTTCCCATACATGATTATCATTTAATGGTATTCTAGAAGTTATAATTTATTTCTTAAAAAATTAGTTATTAAAAATAAACTAACAACATGTACATGTGTACATAAGTGTTTTTCTTTAAGTGCCCCCAATTGGAGCTGGGAAAATGGGCCAAGCTCGTTGGGCTAGCCTGTTTAAACTTATATAATAGTAGAGTCGGGCTTGTAAATAAGATACTAAAATGGTAAATTGAGCTTAAATGAGCTAGCGTTTAATTTTGGGGCTTAAACGGATTGGCTTTAAGAGCAGAAGGTTAGCCTGTTTAAGCACACATATACTCTCTATTTTTTTTTTCAATTTTCATAACTTTGACTCTTTTTGAACTTGGAAAAAAATTAAATTAAATCTTACTCCACATCATATATGAGCTTATATTTGTTGAAGATGAAAGGCAAAAAAAAAAATACAACCATAAATCCCCTAATTCGTCTAGATCTCCTAATCCCTTAATCTCATCTGATCTAGATTGGGTGTTTGTTGGCTTAGCTGATCCATCGCTTGTACCTTGTTGTCATTTCATTTGTATTTTTAGTTCATTTGGATGTTGTTTAGTTAGTTTTCTCATTGTTTTCTTGATTGGGTATTATATTGCAATGAAGTAATTTTTTGTTTGATAAAAAAATTTTAAAAAATAAAAATAGTTAAAAGGGCTTAAAGCCTACAGGGCTAGCCTTGAGCCCATTATGTTGAGGGCTGGGTTTCGTATTTCAAGGTTATAAAAAGAACTCATGTTTAAACGAACTGGCCTTTTTAATCCCAAGCCTGTCAAGGACTGGCCTTTTTAATCCTAAGTCTGTCAAGGGCTGGCCCTATAGAGCCAAGCTAATCCGTTTTTTCTAGCTCTACTCCCAATTATATGGTTGGTTTTGCCCTTGCCTCTGACCAAAATAATAATAATAATAATAAAAAATAAAAAGGTGGCAATCTCATCATCTTACTCGTTGGTGCATGGAGCATCAACCTCACCTAAGGGAACTAACATCTTTCTTATATTTGTGTGCCCTCAACTTTGTATGGTTCATCAAATGAACCTCAGAGGCATAGCTTCA